TCCCTTTTTTCCATCACTGGATCTATCCACAGCTGCTCAAAGAATATAGACATTGTATAATTTTTAGAAAGGAACTTTGACTTTTTAAAAAATCTTTTATTTATTATTTTTATTTTATGTATACAAGTGTATTGCCTGCATGTATGGAAGTGCACTGTGTCATGAAATGCCCACAGAGCCAAGAAGAGGGCATCAGATCCCCTGGAAGTGGGGTTACAGATGGTTGTTATCATGTGGGTGCTGGGAGTCGAACCCGGCGCCAGTGCTCTTAACCACAGACCTATCTCTCCAGCCCCTGGTTTCATCATTTTTGAGTCTTCTTTAAAGTTATTTAACTTTTTTTTTTTTGCAAAGAACATCACTCTAACTTGTGGTAAAATGACTTGAGTCATTTAAAATCTCTGTATTTGCCCAGAAAGGATACTGGAAACAATGAAATACCCGCTACTGAGGTGGCCTGTGGCTCTGGTAGGAGTGGCAGAAATCCGGCATTGAACTCAGCCTGCTTTGAGCTCAGCTCATTTCTGCTCTGTTTAACAGAAGTGCCACTGCTGGTGATATGGCGCCATGGCTTGGGGATGGCTAGTGAGTCTCACAAGTTCTTGCTTTGGGATCTTGGTCCCCCTGTGATGATGGAAAGAAAAGTGGGGCTTTAAAGCATAGAGTCTTGTGGGAGCTCATTACTGACCTCTCCTGAGTCTCTGTGGCTTCCTGTCTCACTGTATGGTCTTCCCCTTCCATTGACAATCCCACCATGGTACCATTTGCCCTGATATGACTCCCTGGCAGCTGAATCCATTAGGCTGCCTGATCTTCAACTTTCAGTCTTGTAGCTGAGCTACATAAACAACTCTACAAAGCACTCAATCACCAGTGTTTTGTTTTAGAAACAGAAAATGGACTGACATACAGAATCAACAAACCATGACTCCTCTTTCCTTATCTCTGAAGCAGATGCGAAGCCAGGGCAGGCCACCAACATGTCTCATTTCATTTAGGCTTTTCTTTGTTTGAAGTTAGTAGTTATTGATTCAATCTCCTTGTAAGAAAATGGGCTGAGCACAGGCCAGGAAGAGCAGACCATAAAGCAGCATTCCTTGATGGTCTGTTCTTCAGTGCTGCCTCCAGGTTCCTGCTCTCACTTCTCTCAGTGATGAACTGTGACCTGGGAGATGGGCGAGAAAATAAATCCTTTCTTCCTCAAGTTGGTTTTGATCAGTGTCCTATCACAGCAATAGAAACTAACCAGAGTAGATATACCCTGATAAAGCAAAACCAGTGTCAGACAAGCCCCACAGAAACTATTCTGTATAATCTCTCAGCTTTGGTTGCTTTTGAGACGACTGGCATGGGGACTCAATTTTTCACTGCTCTCCTTATACAGCCCTCTCAGCTTTGTGAGAGAAAAGAGGTAGCAGGCCCAGCTCTTCACTTAATGTTAGTCTGAGAGGTTCCCATAGGCTTTTAGGGAAGTTAACTCTAGCCAAACTGGGGTTCATTGCTTCAAAACAGAAACGAATTTCAGGACTAGCCAGTGTATGAAGCAGAGTTGGAATTTTAGAAAGATTTTTTAAAAAAATTTATTATTTTTATGTGTATGCATGTAGGTAAGTGTACCTGTGTCGTGCAATGCCTGTGGAGGTCAGAAGAGGCTGTTGGATCCCCCTGGGACTGGAGTTATGCACAGTTGTTAGCTGCCATGTGGGTGCTGGGATTCGAACCCAGGTCTTCTGCAAAAACAACCAGTGTTCTTAACCTCTGAGCCATCTCTCCACACCCTTAGTGGTCTTTCTAAATGAGCCTCTACACTGATACCCATGGTGGCTTCATTCACTTATATGATGAACAACAATGAATAGGGTATCAGTTTCTTCCACACAAGTAATCACCATGTGGTTCCTGAGGGCCAGAAGGCAGGGTTACAATCGATGAAGTAAAAGTCCACTGACAGAGATAAAGGAAGGTAGGATATCTTTACTGTAAACAAAGTCAACAGTGTCTAAAATTAAAATTAAATTTACAATTTATTCTTTGACACTTTCAAACATATCTAATGCATTCTGACTGCAGTTCTCTCCAGACCCCTCTGTGTCCCTCCCACACCTGTAAACCCTCCTCCTCCCAACAAGTCCTTCTACTGCTTTCATTTCTTTTTGTTTTATGACTCACTAACTTTAACCAGGGCCACCGGCATGAGCTCGGTATGGAGCTATTCACTGGGAAATAACTAACTCACCAGTAGTTACACCACTGATCACAAGGACTCCCAGACAGCCATCAGCTGAAAATAGCTCCCCAGAGAGGGAAGGGCCTCATGAGACCCTCCCCCATCAATGACTGAATGTACATGGTCCCAGAGAATATTGCAGAAGAGGGAACAGAAAGGATGTAAGACCCCAAGGAAGGGATAGGTGCTATGTGGCTTTTCCAAACTGAAGCATTTCATTAAGGCTGAGGAAGTAAACAAGAACTTACAAATCGCAGGAACTGAAACTTACAAGATTCAGAAAACCCTTCCCCAAGGACAATCAAGCAAGAATAGTTGCTGAGGATAGGTGACTCTCCAACTGACCAAGTTGCCTGTAAGTCATGCAGGAAGCTCCAAGGATGTAGCTTTCATGATTCTACCCATGTAGCTTTCATGCATTCACCCACCGTGGGGTAGATTTTCAGTGATGCAGCTGCCTTTGTGTCATGTATGTACCAGTAAGAAACTCTTCATCCATCCTCCTGTTAATAATCCCAATAATCTCACTGGTTCACTAAGCTTGATCTGAAAGGAATTGATGAGGAAAAATTGACAATGTAGAAATAAAGAACGATGACTTCAATATAAATCTGTTCTGTATAGTAGTTGAATAAGAACCAAGTATATGTGAGAAGAATGCTGTGTACTCCTAATAATAACACTTATAAAATAAATGTGCTTGTTGATATATGTAGAAGTAACAGGACTTTGGCAACTTCTACTTGTACTGAAATCATAAAGAAAAAGCTTCTACTCCTAGCTCAATCAGGACAACCATAAAACCACAGTCTGGAGTGCCTTGAAAATGCTGCCCTTTGTAGTTATCTTGAGGAAACATTTGCTGCAATATGTCTCATTTATTAGAATGGCTGAGATTGTACTGGCATCAGTACTCTATCTTGTTATTGGGAACATCACAACCCTTGCCTGCACTTGCCCCAAAGGTATTTACTTTTGTAAAATGCTATCCATTTAAATTTCCTATAATAGCCCGAAGGACACATACACATCTGTGATGAAAGTCTCAAGTTCACCAATATGGTTACTGCCACAGGATGACATGAAAAATAAAAATAAAAACTTGTATATATTTCTGGTTGGTGCCTCAGTTTCTCCAGAGCAGCAGTTTAGATTGGAGCTCTTAGGTAATAAAAGAAAACTTCTGCTTTCTGAGTATGGCTTAAATCTTGTCACTGGGCCAGGTCAATGTTGGGTTAATTCCTGTAATAGAAACATTTCTTTGGTCTGATGCCAATACCCTGTCTAGGATAAATAGATATTTGTCCGTGTCACCCTAGGAGAAGTCATACAATGCCAATGACTTGTGATGCATTAAACAATTTCAGCTGAGTTCCTAATGGCCTCTGTAGCCTCACTCCTAATGGTCAGACTCAAGAAACACACATGGTATTATAAAATTTATTACCTAGTAAGGTAGTGAGCTGCTCATTTCTTATCTATTCAAAGATGCCCCTGTACAAATGGCCCAGGAGACAAGGCCACATAACTTCTCTTAACTGCTGTGAAAGAACCCCATTCCTACTCAGGCAGATGATTCTCTCCCTCTCTCTCTGAAGATTTGCTCTCTGTTTGTTTATGATGTACATTCTTTTTGACATATGTATGTATATGTGGTATACATGCATGGGTGTGTGCATGTTCATGTGTGTGGGTACTCATGCATTTTGTGTGTGTGTGTGTGTGTGTGTGTGTGTAGGCCTGAGGTTGATGTCACATGTCCTCCTCAATTACTATGTTCTGAGGCAGTCTCTCACTGGACCTGGAGTTAGCTGTTTAGGCTAGTCTGTCTGCCTAGTTAGCTTGCCCCAGGGATCCCTTGTCTCTAGCTCTTTTTGTGTGTGTGCATGGTACCAATATCTGTGCATGTGCGCGCGTGTGTGTGTGTGTGTGTGTGTGTGTGTGTGTGTGTAGGCCTGAGGTTGATGTCACATGTCCTCCTCAATTACTATGTTCTGAGGCAGTCTCTCACTGGACCTGGAGTTAGCTGTTTAGGCTAGTCTGTCTGCCTAGTTAGCTTGCCCCAGGGATCCCTTGTCTCTAGCTCTTAAGGGCTTCACAATGCACCACCTAGTTTTTATGTGGGTGCTAGGGATCAGAATGTGGGTCCTACATTTGTTTAACAAGTATCTCTCTCCCCCACCCATATAATGTATACTTTTTACTAAAAGCTTCATATTAATTCTGGTCCAGCAATTACTTTTTCTCTATACCTTAGGCTTATTGTTCTTGGAAAGACATATTTAACTAGAATTTTTAGAGAGAATTGCATTTCATTATGGTATAATTGATTTTATAAAGTTGCTAAGCGTCTTGGTGAGGATTTTATCACGTTTTTCTTTTTAAATATTAATTTTTTAAAAATTAGTGTCTGTGTGTGCGCACACATGTGCGTATGCAGCTATGTGCATGTGTGTGTAAGTGCCCACAGAGGCCACAAGGCAGAAGAGGGGTTCCAATTTCCTGTAGCTGGAGTTACAGTCAACTGTGAGTTGTCCAATTGTCCAATGTGGGTATGGGGAATCAAACTTGTTCCTTTGCAAGATCAGTAAGTACCCTTAACCCTGAGCCTCCTCCAGTCAATTAATATGATAACTTAAGAGATAGTGGTCTGAACTTTGTGTTAGGGGTTTGATAGCATTGTAATGCTGCCTTCATATTATGTTGAAAATTAAGTCCTATCCTTATATTTTTGGTCATTTGTGAGAAATTTGTTAATTTATCTTTGAATGTTTAGTGGAATTTTTCAATGAAGTCACCTGGACCTGAGCTTTTGTTAGGGGTAGGTAATTTATTAGTTGTACCAGTAGTAATACAATCTCTTATTGAAGCTTGTTCAGGCGCCCTGTTTCTTTTTGGGGGAGGGGCAGGGTCTTATGTAGCCCATGCTGGCTGGAAACTTGCTGTGTTGCCCAGGCTTACCTTGAACTGATGATCCTCCCATATCCACCTTTCACTGATGCCTGTCCTTGAGACAGTTTTATTGCTTCTGTAGCTACAAAATATCTTGTTTTGATGTCACCTGACAGAACAAATGACATCAGAAACAGAATACTGGAGGGACTGTGTTTCATAGGTACGTTAGCTCAGTCTCGGGCAGACACATTCTAGGATGCTTTATTGGTCTTGAGAAATAGCCATTTCTGGAATGGGGATTGTGATCATCTATCTGGGCCTGAAGGTCATCGAGTATCCATCCCGGACCCGTGAATCTTGGAAATCATAATTGACCTGAAGCTGTTTGAAGCTCTATGTGCCTTTTTCCCTTGTGGCCAATCTCTGTTTTATATTTTCCTGACAACTTCCTTTGAATTGTGACCACTGCCATAACCTGGGAATGTGGAGTGTACAAGACAAAAGTCAGTACATTTCAACTACTTTGTAGTAAGTCATTAAGGTGAGTGGGATGTGTGGAGAAAACAGGACAAAATCGTAGTCATCATTGGGAATGAAGAAGGAGAGAAGAAGAACACTTTTAACTCAGGGTGGGACACAAGTTATGTCTTAGGAATGTGTCCATTTTGCATAATTTACTAGCAGACAGTTGGTTATATTATTGTGAGCTGCTAAGAGAGTCAGGCACCAGTAGGGGCAAGCTACTGTATTTGTACCTCTAAGGTGTCCTGATGGTTTGAGGTAGGGGCTACTCAGGCTATGCTTATCCTCAGTAGCATCTTTCTCATCCTCACAGCTGCTATAAAAGAGATGGAAGTTACCAGAACATGACTCAGTGACTCTGCAATCCCCACTTCCCTCAAAGAGTTCAGAATGCTCTCCAGTTCTGTACAAGCATCCTGTTACGATTCTGTAATTCTCATTTCTCCAATAGAAAGTTATCATGTTGTGGGACAGACAAGAGGCACCAGGAGATTCAGGAAGCAGGTTTATTCAGGCTATCTGTGGCCCATGTGTGGAGAAAACAGGACAAAATCGTAGTCATCATTGGGAATGAAGAAGGAGAGAAGAAGAACACTTTTAACTCAGGGTGGGACACAAGTTATGTCTTAGGAATGTGTCCATTTTGCATAATTTACTAGCAGACAGTTGGTTATATTATTGTGAGCTGCTAAGAGAGTCAGGCACCAGTAGGGGCAAGCTACTGTATTTGTACCTCTAAGGTGTCCTGATGGTTTGAGGTAGGGGCTACTCAGGCTATGCTTATCCTCAGTAGCATCTTTCGCATCCTCACAGCTGCTATAAAAGAGATGGAAGTTACCAGAACATGACTCAGTGACTCTGCAATCCCCACTTCCCTCAGAGTTCAGAATGCTCTCCAGTTCTGTACAAGCATCCTGTTATGATTCTGTAATTCTCATTTCTCCAATAGAAAGTTATCATGTTGTGGGACAGGCAAGAGACACCAGGAGATTCAGGAAGCAGGTTTATTCAGGCTATCTGTGGCCCAGAGAGTCTCTTGTCTCCGGACCCTGATTCAGGGGAGTTTACACATTTTGTAGGATTGCATATTCCTAAGCATTATGTATATTCAAAAACATTAGAATAAACTTCCATTTTCTTTATTTAGGCTCATTTCTTAGAAAAGGGCTTGGAAGGGTCCCAAGATTTAGGATTTTATACATTGTCAAAGCAACTTAAAAGTTTTCATAAAAACAGGGCAGGAAGATGCAGGTAAGGCATTTTATTTTATTTTATTTTAACCACAGCTGTTTGGGGCTCGAGGTATAAGGTCCCCATCCTCAGCTAAATGTCAAAAAGTGTTACCTTAACATCCTTTTCCAAAAACCACAGTTCTAGCTAAATGTGTCAGCATTCTAACCACAAACTTGTCAGTTGAACTTTGCAGATGGAGACACAGAGAGAAAACAGTATTAAAATCCATATTTCAAAAAATATTCCATCAGGTTCTGCATCAACCAAGCTCCCCATGTAGCAGCTGGGGGCATTGACTTGACTGCAGTGAGCACAGGTGCCAGGTGCTGGTTTTGAGAGTCTGAGAGACGGGCTGTTTCCCCTCCAAACTGCATCTCTAACAGCATACCCACCTCCACTAAGTGAGTCTGCCATTTCTGGAAATTAGACCTGAAATAATATGCTGTCTCATCACCGATGCTGCTCCAAATGGTCACAAACACGAACATCATACTGTATATTCTATGTTTTATGGAAATGTCTTTAAACAATATGGTTCAAAACTCTCAAGTATTTGAAGATTCTGGCTGAGACGTTCTGAGAAACTCTCCCACTTAGCTCCTGGAAAACCCTTGTGTGTTGGTTCACTGCCGAAATAATATGCTGTCTCATCACCGATGCTGCTCCAAATGGTCACAAACACGAACATCATACTGTATATTCTATGTTTTATGGAAATGTCTTTAAACAATATGGTTCAAAACTCTCAAGTATTTGAAGATTCTGGCTGAGACATTCTGAGAAACTCTCCCACTTAGCTCCTGGAAAACCCTTGTGTGTTGATTCACTGCTCTGCCCTAAGCAGTTTCAGTTTCACAGTATTCTGACGGCAGAGGTCACTGGGATTTCCAACATTTTGCTACTTGGAGCAATCCAGACAGTTCCACAGCACTGGAGGAGGGTTGACAGAGAAGCAAAAGAGCCAGTCCACCCACACTGAGAGGCAAGAGCAGGTAAGACGGGTCACCTATCTTCCTAGTGCTCTCTCTAGCTCCAGAGAGCTCTGCTCTGGAGACATGGGGTCATGAGGCTGGGCAGAGATGAGAAGGCATTTAGTTATGAGCATTAAATAGTTTACTTTCCACAAACTACTGGCATATAATAGCTTCTGTGAGAGCAAGAGTCAGCTTTCTTTACGGGTGTGGTCCCTGGTAAGTCAACTACACTCCCGGGCTGGTTCCCGAGTGTTTGAACAACATCAGCAGATTTTATAGTGTGTTTCTGTATGTAGCCTTGCTCCGTGGTCAGAGGGGTTTTACTTCCCGTGCGCTGTACCTGCTCACTCTGCAGGTCTAGCCTCGCCTTTCCAAGCACGCAGCTATTTCGACCTCAGTGGGTAAGTCATTTACCTCTCTGTGCCTCCATTTGCTCAGTAATTTACCATTAGACTGTGAACTCCTTGAGAGACCTTATCAGAGTCTTTGCTCTTTCTTTCTCAGCGCCTTGTACCATGCGCACTCCATAAAAAGTGCCCAATAAATGTCTAGCAAACAGCGAGTGGGTGAGTGTAAGGTGGGACTGCTGGTTGCACAGAATTCTGGGAAGCATCATTTATATTTTAAATCTTTCTTCCTTTCATAGAAAGGTTTGAAGCAACTTGAACAAAACAATAACAACAACAAAACAATAATAACAACAGCAACAAAACAACTGGGACTAAGAAAGGCTGTATTTGAGTGTGTGTTGGTGCATGTATGGCGCCAGAGGAAATCCTGGGTGGACAGCAGTCCCACTGCTGGGCTTGCTTTGACTTAGGAAGCAGCAGACATGACTGAGCCAAGGGTGGGAAAGCCATTAGGATTTCCTTTCTTTGTGTTCACACTGTTGCTCCTGATGATGGACACAAGTGAATGACCATGGTCAGTGATGGAATTTATTCAGTAGCACTCCTTCTAAAAGGGCTGCCTGTGGGTTATATTCATGACGAGAAACAGAATGAGATGTATGGTTAAACAGCCAACCAGGCCGTGAAGAACAGAGAAAATGGTGATTCAAAAACAGCTCAAAAAGAATAAGAGATTGCCTCTTCTGGATATGAGTGACCATGGCCTGGAAACACAGACTCAGGTTATTAGAAATTGCATGTTCTAACTTTGGAAATTTGATGTTTTTATAGGAATGAGCAAAGAAAATCATAAATCAACATACTTCCACAATACATTGGTGGGAGTATTAGGTAGGCAGGTTAAAGCAAAGTGAGAGAGTCTGTACTATAGGCCTCAGATGCTGTCTAATAATGTTCTTAGACTTTAGGTTGGTGAAAGCCAGAGTCTGTTTGTATATTCCAAAGATGATTTTATCCGACAGTAACAACGAGATTGAGTCAAACACAGGCAGGTGATGAATGACTACGAAGAGGGCTAAAGACAGCCCGGGATTATTTGGCTCCAGACTTGGAATATTCCAGCTCTTCATAATCACAACAATTCTAGTCAGGCAGTCAGCCTGGTAGATTCATTAACATAGCTGTGGCCTTTTCCGGGAACTTCAGATCAGAACTGAAACCGAGAGTGAACTAGGAAGGTCAGGAAAGCTATATATATATATCTTCTGTCCCACATGACGTGAGTCCTTCTTCAAAAGCTCACTTCCTACTTTTGTCTACATTAATTTTTTTCTTTAAAGAAAACTTTATTTACCACACACATATTAGAAATTACTTTAAATGGAGCAAGATCTGAAAAGCTGTTCACTACAACAAAGCTAAGAATAAACTAATAGCATATCAGAAAACAGAACTCTAGAACATTTTAAAATGTATTTTACTGGGTTGTTCTTAACTATAAAACTTCATATTTAAAGTTATAAACTCTCCACAGTAGTGTCCTTGAAATTGCTTTGAAACAATAGGAACGTGTAGGTAAGACCACAGACAGCAAGCTCACTGAGATTTAACTGGCTATTACTAACATGTGTTTTATGGTAATTTAGTAGCTGCTATGTTAAGATAGTTCCCTTCTTCCTCTCAGTTCCTTCCTTCCTTCCTTCCTTCCTTCCTTCCTTCCTTCCTTCCTTCCTTCCTTCCTTCCTTCCTTCTTTCCTTCCTTCCTATTTATTGCAAATATTTTCCAAGCACATGTAAAATACAGTAAGAATGTGGGGTCAGGGCCTCACTCATGAATCTCTGAGATAGTTCTTCTTCCACAAGTCAGGAAATGAATATTTGATCTGAGATACTTTTTATCCAGTCATTTATTCCAACATATTTATGAGTAGGTGTGTTTTGCTGGGCACATCCTCGGAGTATTGCATAACTATTTTTTAAAAAATAGCTTATTGAGAATTTCATACATGCATATAAGGTGTTTTGAACAAATCCATGCCCACCCCCTCCGCTCCAACTCTTCCCATAGTTCCCCATCATTTTTTTTTCTGATAACTTCATGTACTCTTTCTTCTTCTTTTATTTATTTTTTATGGGGCTTTTGGCTACTCTACCATTCCACCTCT